GAGGAATATAAGGAAACCCACATAGGTTAAAAAATGAGCAAAATATGCTATCGTAAAAATAGAGGCTGCCTGGCCGGCATAGTATGGTGACCATTACACCTTGGAAGGTCCTACCAGGACTACAGAAGGACACTCCCAATGTACTTTGCCTGTTCTGTCCTGAGTCACTTCATGCCAGATTAAGGAAGCTAGCAGGACTTGGGGATAGCCACCAGCTGCTAACATGTATATTTTTGCTTGGCATGTTTCACAAATTATTTCCGTTATAAGTAAATCGGTTTTTAGGATACATATTTAAAGTATTTTACCTTTTAGTGAAACTTTTTTTGTTAAGATGTAAATATGTTAATTGCCCTTCCCTACACCTCTATATATATATATTGTAGAGGTATTTTTGTCGAAACGTTGAGAAAATAAAAAAACTCCAACTGGCCGAAGTGTCTATTTTATATAAAAAAATATGCTATGTTATTGATAATATTTCTACTATGTGTACCTCAGATGGTCTTATTGAAACAGGAGTCCATAACCCTCCCAACATAAACTCTATTCCAGCCTAGAAGAGAGTGGGCTGCTTGAAGTGATTGAACAAACTGAGAGGCTCTCTAAGATGCCAAATCAATCCAGAGACAACACTAGGAGTGGTGGGTTTGAAGCTGCCAAAAGCCAGGCCAAATAGAGCTATTTATATACAGAAGTGACACTAAACACAAGGTAATAAGACCAAATCCAAATAGATAAATAGTGTGTGACATTTGGGTAACAGCATTGTTACCATCTTCAGACAAAAGTACTGAATGGTAAAGTACTGTTACCGAAACGTCACACACTATTTATTTATTTGGATTTGGTCTTATTAACTTGTATTTATAATCTACAGTCCAAATTGTGCCTTATCAGAAGTGACACTTTGGAGAAGAAAAAAAAACTTTTGATTTAAAAAATAAAGGGCAGTAGATGAAGCTGTTCATAGACTGTATAGAAGAGATAACTTTGATGACTACCAACTTGACTTTTGTGCTTAACTTTGTGAACTTTGCCTAACTTTTATTGTGGATTTTGCCTAACTTTTATTGTGGATTTTGCCTAATTTTTATTGTGGATTTTTCCTAACTTTTATTGTGGATTTTGCCTAACTTTTATTGTGGATTTTGCCTAATTTTTATTGTGGACTTTGCCTAATTTTTATTGTGAACTTTGCCTAACTTTTATTGTGGACTTTGCCTAATTTTTATTGTGAACTTTGCCTAACTTTTATTGTGGACTTTGCCTAATTTTTATTGTGAACTTTGCCTAACTTTTATTGTGAACTTTGTCTAACCTTTATTGTGGACTTTGCTTAACTTTTATTGTGGATTTTGCTCCACTCACAACTAGTATGTCTTGTAAGATAGAGAGGGGGGGGGGGGAGAGAATCAAGTATTTTATTCTGACCTTGAGAGAGATTAAGCAATAAGAGGTCTATTGATGCTGGCGTCCACTTAGATGATGAGTGGCAGTTGGCACTGGCTCAAACCCCCTCCTGTCAATGATTAAAATAAACTATCCGGACCACAAACCAAAATTACCCCGGCCTGCTGCACTTCTAAATCTGGCTCAGCACAAAAGGCAATCTCATAATTGGATGATATATTGAGAGAGAGAAAGAGAACTAATAACTCTGATGTGACTTTCTTTCACCCCTGAAATAACCCATTTCTCTATTTATTAGACCTACTGGGGTGAAGCAGACAATAGACTGTATCACAATGCTATTATTGCTTGAACAAAACTCCATTATTTATGTTGGATGTCCCTTAAAAAAAAATTGTTTTAATAGATAAATGGGGAACTGCTGATAATATGCATTTCAGATAATTGGTGTATAAATTGTTTTTTTATACTCATGAGCAAAACTTGAGGAAGTTGTACTTTTTACCATGTATATCGGAATTCAGACAATAACTCTGAAAGATATTACAGTGACCTTTATTGAAGACACACCAGATAAACAAGTGTGAACAAAAGTGCCTCTGTCTCCTTCAAAAAAAAAAAGACAACGGCAACATCAAAATATGAAACTTCAAGTTTTGTTCCCATTTAATGTATTTCGGCATCTCTCTCAACAATATTTTTTTACTTTCATATAGATGAAAATAAAGAAATTGCCATAAATATCACATTTATCAAAGATTAAATCCGCCAGTTCAAAATCACATTAATAGGTACTGCTCAACAAGAGCAACCTAGTTCATGATAATTGAAATAATGAATAATATGTGAAGGTTATTCATATATTAAACAAAATGTTAACGCGGGATTCAATCCCGGTTCATGACTGTCGGGAATCGAGGGTGTTACCCACTCGTCCACCGACTTTGTATATTGTATAAGATTAAATCCTTTTGCAAAAAATATTATGAAACTTATTTCCACGCACACAAGCATAAAGGTGACAAGAAATCAGTATTAAAAGAGAGAGAGGTGAAGCTGTGTACAGAAAATGAAAGTAAACAAATGAAATGATTGTAGGAATTCCCTACCATATTTACACATGCAGCTCAATCCAATACACAGTGTATATAACATCTTTACTGAATGGATAAGGCACAATTTGGATTATAGATTATAAACACAAGACCAAATCTAAATAAATAAATAGTGTGTGACATTTCAGTGTCAGCGTTGTTACCATCTTCAGACAAAAGTACTGAATGAGACTAAACATGCTGTGGTAAAATTTCTCATTCAGTACTTTTGTCTGAAGATGGTAACAACGCTGTTACCGAAACGTCACACACTATTTATTTGGATTTGGTCTTATTACCTTGGTTTATCTTTACTGAATATAACCCAAAACTCTGATCCCTTTGGGAGTTAAAGAAGAAAAGATAAGACTGTATAATATTACTTTAGTTGGATGTAAGAAATTTTCAGAAAGAAAGAAAAAAAGTTGCATAGAAATCAACGCAAAATTTTCCAGGTATCTCTCGTCTATGATATTGAGAGTATAGTTTAAGACTTTCTCCTCTGGAATCACAACGAGGTGTGTCACAACATGGGACATTATTTATGGTCATCTCCTTGGTTGGATCAAAATAGCTCACCAATGGAAGGACAACAATGTCGCAACATTTACTTCAGGCCTAGCTCATCACTTTCATTATAATTTAGGTGCTGATTGTATTCTCTCCCACAATACAATATATAAAACCAAAGGTCACCTCTCCTGTCAAAATAGACACTAAAACTAAAAGCATCTATTTACTGCTCCACAAAGTGGGGACCTCAGGTTGGTGACAAAGCCACAGGTGTGAACAGGTGTTTCTCAGTTTGACAAAGCTGATGTTGTGGCTTTGTCACTGACTCGAGTTCTCTAGTTTTCAGAGACAGTCAATAGATGACTCTTAGTTTTAACATGACAGGTTAGGCAACCTTCATTTATATATATATATATATATATAACAATATAATACACTGCGGCCTGTGATTGTAAAACAACACTTGAAGTTACACCGCATGAGTTTCCTTTCAACAAAAAATCAAAATTTTATTTCAAGGTGAAATATTGACTATTTCTAAACTTTTTGGATGAGGTATGAAAGGGTGAATTATGGAGAGTAATGATGAATGGAAAAATAAAAGTGTCCAGGGATGGGAATCGAACCCACAATGTTCCGCTTACCGGGCAGATGCCATGTCCACTAGGCTACCCTGAAGTATTTTTCCGTTCGTAAATAATACATAAAGTAACTTATATTACAATATAATGCACTGCGGCCTGTGATTGTAAAACGACACTTGAAGTTACACCGCATACAGTAGAACTTCCATGAGAGGACACTCGTGCTAGAGGACACCTCTTTATAAAGGACTGTTTTCATTTATAAAATTTACCATTTTTATTATTTAGCAACTATCTGGTATGAGGACACCTCTCTCTAAAGGGCACTTTGATTCTTCAATTAGGTGTCTTTTACAGGAAGGTAGGTTCTACAGTATATAATTGTCAGAGAATATCTGATAGGTGGCTATGATAATGATATAGCATTCAGTTACATGATTATGTCTTTTATTGTTATTGTAATGTCTTCCCTCATGATCCAATTTGATATAGTCATTTATGTCACAGTTTTATTTATTTTCAGATTGTGTGTGAATCTTATCTACGGAGATAGAGAGGATCCCAAAGGAAGGAACACTTCTCTTTACTACTTTTATGTGTGTCCATTGTGTGTTCCATTGATGAACTCTACTCTTCCCCGGCAGACACCATCAAAAGTCTCAAGCTTTACAAGCTTGATACCTTAGTGTGATTGAGCTCGAATCAGCCTCCGCCCTTTTTAGGCATTACTTGGCCGAGTCCGATTAAATCAGCCCTGCCAGGCTCCTGGATATCCTACTTAGTGGGGATAAGAAAGAAGAAGAATGTGTGTCATAGTATATTTAAGAGATTGAAAGCTCATAATAAAAGAGAAACAAGACACCAATTCCCAAACTATAGAAGTTGAACCTATAATGGATCCTTGTTATAACAACATTATCATTTAACAAACCTTATCAGAGATCCTGGATCTTGGGTGTCAGGGTGACAGTTCATATCCTCACCACTACGACTTTTTCAGCATATGTGTGATGTTGGGCAGGGTGAGTAGAGATGAGTGGTATACACTGTCGATATTTGACAGCCACAACCCTAGGATTGAATCCCACAGTGGACTTTTATTTCTAAAGAAAAATTGCTTCACTGGCACCTGTTTCTTGTTTAAGTCCAACTTCACCAGTTTTTTTTTTTGCTTATCCCTAGTACACGTGGTACAGGCCATGATAATCATGGTGAGTAGTTAGCGACTGCTTTTTACTGTAAGCGCACCACATGTCTACACATGTGAAAGCAGTTCGACTTTGCACTTACAAATGTGCCAGAGCCCCGTTTGGTTACTTGCACTCGCTGGTGGGGTTGGACTTTTGCAAGAATCGGGGGGCCATTGGAACACTTTTTTTTTTTTAACAGAAAAAAGTGTCCAATGCGGGGATCGAACCCGGGTCGTAGTGGTCGTAAACCAAATGGTTTAACCAGCCTTCCACCGACCCCGTGCAAGTAACCTAACGGGGCTCTGACACACTTGTAAATACAAAAGTCAAACTGCTCTCTACATGTGTAGACATGTGGTTCACTTACAGTAAAAGCAGTTGCTAACTTCTACCTACCATGATTATCATGGCCACATGTACTTGGAATTTGTACCACCACATGTGTACTCTGGGCAGCTAGCTCTTCATGTTGACATTGTATCATCAAAATATGATAGTTCTAAGCTGGAAGGACTGAAATTGTCATACACCAACCATATTTCAAAAAGCAAGGTTGCTGCAGCAACTATGGAGAAACCTTGGATGGGAGAGAAAGACAAACAGGGATTGGTGCGTTGCCAACAGCAGACTTTCCTCCTAGCGAGGATCACCTGATAGATCCGGGTGACTGCTGAATACCAAGATACCCGGATCTGTGGTTGCCACAGACCTCTACGCATCTACTTCGTTTGAAGTCCTGACTGAACAAAATGGGAAGAACTTAATTAAAATATAACAACCTCTCCATGAGAGAACACTCGCTAGAGGAAACCTCTCTACAAAGGACAGATTTCATCACCAATACAGTAAAACTACCTCCATGAGAGGACACTCGCTAGAGAAAACCTCTCTACAAAGGACAGATTTCATCATCAATACAGTAGAACAACCTCCGAGAGAGAGGACACTCTCGCTAGAAGAAACCTCTCTACAAAGGACAGATTTCATCATCAATACAGTAGAGCAAACTCCATGAGAGGACACTCTCGCTAGAGAAAGCCTCTCTAGAAAGGACAGATTTCATCATCAATACAGTAGAACAACCTCCGAGAGAGAGGACACTCTCGCTAGAAGAAACCTCTCTACAAAGGACAGATTTCATCACCAATTCAGTAGAGCAAACTCCATGAGAGGACACTCGCTAGAGAAAACCTCTCTACAAAGGACAGATTTCATCACCAATACAGTAGAACAACCACCATGAGAGGACACTCTCGCTAGAGGTTAGAATGATTACAACTCGCAGTATGTAAATACTGTGCATATATGTTTAAAATAAATTTGCATATATGAAAGACATACAGCTTACATTTTCAAAATAAATCCTTATTAGAGGAAAACCAAAAACTCTGAAATATAATTGAATATTTTTCTTTCAATATATTTGATTGACAACAAAATAGATTGATTCATTTTAAATATTTAAAATAAAATTTTGCTTCATCTCTTTTTCTTTCTCTAAAACACCTATCTACATACATACATGTATGTGACAATATAGTGGTAATAATGTGGTGAGGAGAGAAATAATCACACGACGAGTTGGAAGAGGAATCTGGAAGCCATCCGAGAGAGAGAGGGAGCGACAGGGCTGTCCGCTGAACGACTGCCTGTGTGGCCACCACCCCCCGACCATCTGTCCCAAAAATAGTCCCCAGGTGTTGATGGGCGGGCCCCTTTTGCCGCCCCTTTGGAATGTCGTGATGTCTAAAGTGTCTCGCTTTAGCTGCCCATCTCTCTCTCGTTGACTGTAGGTTTGTTTTATTAATCCTGGAAGAGCATATATTATGACATGTATATATAAAATAACCAAGATACTTCTAGAGCCATCTTAAGCCACTCTAACAGTATTGATAAATACAATATAAAGACAGGTGTAGGATTTAAAAAAAAAACAACTCACTTTTACAAAGTCCAAGTTCACATCGCTGCAAAACACACACAAAACCATGGTTAGATATTTTGGCATACCTCAAGGAGTTTTGTAAAGAAGATTATTTTAAACTGGGATGATAAGGTATAATTTGTAGATTATAATCCAAATAAATTAATAGTGTGTGAGGTTTTTTCATTCATTTCTTTTATTTGATGATGGTAACCATGCTGTTACCAAAATGTCGCATATTATTAATTTATTTGGATTTGAACTTATTACCTTGTAGCGCCCCCTCTAAATAGTGCCTTCCTCTCTATAGCGCCCAATTTTAAACATGTAACGCAAAGCAATAACGCGCCATCTATACATATAAAATGAAAGAATCATCCAATACAGTATTAGAGCTCTGAGAAGCGGTCTGGTGGATTAAATTGACGAAACCGCTGGGAGAGTTCACCACTGATGAGCCAAGCCCTCCCAATATATTTTTTTCATCGCAGTAAGGGCAGTAGAAGTTTGTATTGTGTATAAAAGAAACATTCGTGCTTTTAAATCCTTTCATTTTATATTAAAATGTAAACATTTTACATTAATCTATAGTACCCCCTCTCTATAGTTGCCTAATTTGGTGAGTCCCAAGAGGGGGCGCTATAGACAGGTTTAACTGTATATATTTATATTGAAAAAGGCGTACCTGGATCTGTTGAAAGAAAAACAATTTTTTCTCAAAATATTTCAAGTGATTGCTCATCCCTCTTTATCAATTTATTGCACAATAAAGAGAGGGGGGGGAGCAATTGCTCAAAAATATTCTGAGAAAAAAAAAATTATTTCTTTCAACAGATCCAGGTACGGCTTTTTAAAATTTGATAAAAGAGTGTCCATTATGTATTTTGCTTTGAGAGAGCTACTCTCTGAGTAAATTTAGAACAGCCAATCTAAAGTGGGAGATAATTATTTCATAGATGAATTGGTGGCTTATCAGGAGGCAATTGATGATAAGACTGTTGTGTCTCCTCCCACGTTACTACTATGGCTGCTACGTAAGCCACACATGACTCAGTTTTACTGACCCTTGTGTTAAAAGATAGGAGATCTTATCTCTTTCACAAAGGAGGGCTAAGATGGAGATAAGAATCACGTACGCACTTGATGGATCCTTTACACCACTGCTTTAGAGAATACATGTTCCCATCCCTGACTCTATTGGAGAATATTTGTCCATTTATATAGTTTCCAAAAGTTCAAACACACTTGACTTGATGGAAGTTAACAACAATAAGTAGGTTTAAACTGTAGGGGTAATTTTGGTAGTTTTCTCTTTTTAGATGTGTTTGTCGATGCCCAGTTTTCTAGTAAAAGTCACCAATTGCTTGTCTATATATGGCACATTGTGCAAGAGATAACTTTTGATTTGTTGAAATGAATTCCACGTGCTCAACAAATTTTCTATAATAAAGAAGAACCATAGATTTAATGATATTTTTTCTCATTTATTCTTTTGTCTGATGATGCTGACAATGTTGTTGCCGAAATGTCACACACTAATAAAAATTTGGATTAGGTGTTATTACCTTGTGTTTATAATCTATAATCCAAATTGTGCTTTATCATTGGTCTTATTACCTTGTGTTTATGATCTATAATCCAAATTGTGCCTTATCGTATGCAAAATTAGTTCAATACTGTTACTTTTCCTGTTGAAAAGGTCCTCAGACAGACATAACTGTGGAAAGAATGACTCTATAGGCAGACTCCTTCTTGATAAAGATGGACTGATTAACCTCGTCGAGATATTAATGGCTAAAGAATATCGGTGCACTCCAAAAAAAAATCAGTGTTTCATCCTTAATGAAGTGAATGGTGTAAAATCTAGGTGAACAAACAGCCATTTTGACATACCAACATAGTATAAAAGAAACATTTGTGCTTAAATCCTTTCATTTTATGTGTATAGATGGCGCATTATTGCTTTGTGTTAATACCAGCGTGGCTTGAAAATATACAGTGGTACAAGGAAAAATACATCCACAATTTATATAAAACTCAAGGTTTACGACCTTAGTGTGTTCCAGACAAAATATAAATATATAAAAAAAGATAATTAAAGAGTGAGTAACGTTCAAGACAAGTTTGTGTAGAATCAGCCAAACATGTGGATCAAGGACCGACACGTGCGAGTAAAAAAACACTTGGGTTCTTGACCAAGATATCGCCACTTAATTTCAATGAGGGTGATGATTGAGTTGTGGCCTCATTCCTCTCATGGGAACATTTATGGAGAGGAAAACATCGCTTTGGAGGGAAGTGAACGGAATAGGAACAAAAAATATGTCGCCAAATTGATGTTGCGCAGTTCAAGTGATTGCATGAACATCTTTAGTTGAATGATAAGGTACACAATTTGGATTATAGATTAGAAACATAAGGTAAAAAGACCAATGATAAAGCACAATTTAGATTGTAGATTAAAACACAAGAAAATAAGACCTAATCCAAATAATTTAATAGTGTGTGACATTTCGGCAACAGCATTGTTACCATCATCAGACAATTCTTTTGTCTGACAATGCTGTTGCCGAAATGTCACACACTATTAAATTATTTGGATTAGGTCATATTTTCTTGTAGTAAAAAGACCAAATTGAAGTTAATAAAATGTGTATGACATTTCAATTCAGCGTTATTACCATCAGATAAGAAGTATTGAATGATTCAGTACAGATTTGTCTATTTAATATATTCTTTCAACTGATTATAATCCAATAATTAAGGTATCCCATTTTTTCATTTACCAATCACCTAACTGACTATAATTCAACCAAAGAGTCGTACTTATATTGTAGCAAAATATTTGGTATTCTATGAATATATTATATATTTTGATATACAGTTAAACCTGTCTATAGCGCCCCCTCTTGGGACTGCCAAAAATAGGGTGCTATAGAGAGGGGGTGCTATAGACAGGTCACTTTTAATGTTTACATTTTAATGTTTAAAATTGGGCGCTATAGAGAGGAAGACGCTATTTAGAGGGGGCGCTATAGACAGGTTTAACAGTATATATATTTCACTACTCTGTAAATTTCCTTCATTGTCTCTCTGATTGTTTATAAATTTATTTTTGCATTCAATACAAGAAAATAAGACCTAATCTTGATTATTTTCTTGTATTATAATCTATAATCCAAATTGTGCTTTATTAGTTTTGCATTCAATAAATTCAAAACTATTATAGACGCGTATGATTCTTTTTAAAATAAAACAATTTCTACTGCCCTTACTGCAATGGAAAAATTAAGGGGAAGGCCTGGCTCATCAGTGGTGAACCTTCCCAGCGGTTTTACCAGTTTAACTGGCTGGGAGGGTTCGACACTGATGAGCCA